CATTTCCCTCATATTCTTGTGGCACAAACGTAGTGCTGGAGTAAAACTGCGAGGGGCGAGTTTTGCGAGTATATGCTCGGTGATGCTTGCGGAGGAGGTTGTTGCAGCTTCTCCACACTCAGGCTTTTAGAGAAGGAAGCCGGGGGAGGCGGTGGCGAGTAATCTGGTAGCTCGGGGATGGTCGGAGAGTCACCTTCCTGTGGGGATTGGATGTGAATGGATACACCAAGGCCTGTACTCCCTGGTGCCGTCGCAGCGGATAGATTTGGCCCAGTGGTTGATATCTTTGGGGTAATAGCATCACCGTGTTCCGCTGCGGTCGACGTGTGGTTCCTGGTGTCATCAGTCTCGGCCTTATCCGTAACAGCCCAATGCATCCAGTCGGCAATCGAAGGCGAAGCACGTTCCCAATCGTCTCTCAAATTCAAGTTGGCAAGATGATGGACATAATCAGACGGTGGAATCGACTTCGATTCTGGGAGTATAACCACATCTTCGGCTAATCCATCCTCCTGCGGTGTTCCAGTGGAATGGATCGATGTTCTCTTCTTTTCGTTATCAGGCTTCTTCACCACCGGTTCAGGAATCCTCGGCTGGCCAAAACCAGCCTTGGCGAGCTCTTGAAGGTACAACTGAGTCGCACGCTTCGTGTCCCATCGTGCCTGTTTAGCCAGGTCCGGATATCGGTGCATCAAATTGAGGCTGAATCTTTCACCAAGGCGTGCTGATGGTTTCAGAGCATTTTCGGCTGTCTCCTTGGGCTTCGACTCTGGCGTTGGTTTGGCTGACTCGTTGGTGTTTGGCTCTTGTATCGTTGGCTGAGGAGTAACAGCCCTCTCACTCGTACACGTCGATTCGGGGACTCCATTCTCATCTGTGAGGGGTTCAACCTTCCCGTCAGACGACGTCGACTCTTCTATCAACTGGTTGTTTTGAATCTGAATCGACGAACTCCAGGAACTCATGCTCCATCTTTGTCGGTCTGGGTGAGATCGAACTCCGTCTCCATCCTCGGGGAATTCTTGATTCTCGCTACTTGTGTCAAGCGGCTCAAAGTATGTTTGACGAAGCATGATTTGGATCGATTCCTTGTCACGACCGGATGATAGAGAGTCATTTTCGTCGTCACTGGAGTCAGTAATATCAGGACTTGATTCACGCATTTGCATGATGTGGCTAAGCATAGTTCGATGAGACAATGGTTGAGGGTAGTCAGTTTGCGGCTCTGCATCAATCGTCGTTGTGTCCGTCATGTTGGTGATTGCGGACTGTGGAGGTGTGTCTGAGCATGCCGATGGCGGACGTGAGTCAGGCAGGCCTAGATCGGGGACTGCAGGCGTATCTGTGACGAGAGATTGCTGCTCCACGGAATTTCTAGACGCAATATTTTCTGTCGGTTCTGCTTGGTCAGGAGATCGACCTTCCTCGGGCGTGACAAACACCTCTTCGTCTTCACCCATACCTGGCGATTCAATGGTGGGAGCGGGGGGAGCGGGAACAACTCTCTCTGCCACGGTGACTGGTCCTCAAATTCACAGATACATTT